ACACTGAGTTTATTTGTTGTTGGCAACAAAATGGGAATTTCAGCTCTTGAAGGGCTTCTGCCTTCAGGCTCTGGCCTCATTAGAAACATGGCTTTGCCTGTTTTGTCATATGGTTGTCATTCTTGATCTCAGGTGCTGAAAGGGTGAGTGGTACTTAAGCAAGGGCAGTTTCTGTTCCTAAGGTTAAATGTGCAACTTACTTTCTGTGTACAATAGCTCTAAGAAGTATCTTTAGTGTTTCCTCCAAATAAAAAGTGTAAGTTAAGGAGCAGTACCTTGGATCAAATGACTCTTGTGATAAGACACTAGGAAAAAGAGCAATTAAGGCCTATTTCCTTCCAAAAGTTATAAAATATTTTATGCATTTTACATTTCCAGCCAAAATAAAATGCAATAGCTTTGTTTCGTTGCACAGTAATGACACAATAAAAGAATGCACAGAGTGTTTTGTCAAGGAACAGAGCATCATTCTCACTCTTCCCACCTTCATTTTTTCCCAGGGATAAGGCAACAAAGTATGGACTTTCCTCCCATCCATTGCTCTCTATTGTGCAGCAGTATTCACATGTCTGTCTTAATTTGTTTGTCTGATAGCCTAAACAAGATGATGGAAGCACAAGGGAGTGGATTAGGGCATTGGCAATAGAAGTTGGCATGATGCTGAACGGGTTGGAGGCAAAGCTACACCAAGGGCTGTGAGCATGAGGCCCACAGGCAGAGCAACCTATCACGGAGTGCAGGGAGGAAGGAGGGAGCTGGAACACCTCCTGAACAAGCCAGTGTGTGTCTGTGAGTGGGTGGGGATGGGCCCATGCAAGGCTCCCTGCCAGGCAGGCTGTTACTTGCTCCTGGGGTAGCATCCTGGGGAGAAATGATCATCTATGGAAGGAATTCAGCAGAGTGGATGATGTGGGAAGAAAGGAGACCAGGAAATCCAATCAGGGTGAGGGCTGAGGCTGAGAATCAGAGGCATTCTCATTGACCTGGCTATTCCTGGGTCACCCGAGCCCTGGCTCCCTGGGTGGTTGCAGGGTCCTGTGGGCCTGGACTCCAAGGCTCTAGGTCTTGGCTCTTCACTTGTTCGAGGTATGGACACTCTGAGACCCCAGTGTGGCATGGGCCCTCCCGCATGTATTCATGCCTTTCTGGGGCTCTCTAGCTCTCTTCCTTCCAGCATCCTGTCTTGAGATCTCTCTCTGTTGCTCTATGTGTGGCTCACCTCAATCTGTC